AATATCATGTTATTAAACATTTCTTGTCTTTCAATATCATGTTACTAAACATTTCTTGTCTTTAGTCAGGAACTGAAAGTTAAGTAGAACAGCCCATGTTAGGCCTACTTTACAGGAATTAATAGAAGATATTATGCCAGTAAACATTTTAATTTTTAGTTAAGTATTAATGGCTTAATTAAGAATGACGTTATTAACATTAATCTCGTATTTAAACAGTAAATTCAAACCCGCCTTATATAAATATGATAAAACAAAACCTCGTTGTCTTATCATAAAACTACTTATGATATTAAAGTGACTTCAACATTGGTATAAATATATGACATAACTGACAAAAGGTTATTGTTTCTTTCATGTTATATTCTGTATCACTTGTACAGGAGCGATAGACAGATAGTTTAAATGGATGTTTTTGTATATAGAATTATCTGTCAATCTAACGTATGTTTCTTTTGCCCAGTATCCAGAACGCATTAGCATTTTAAATCCACGAAAGTTATATCTTTAGAGACTTGATATGTTACTATTCCTGCTCTGAGTTTGTGTCAATGTATAACTTTATTTGTTTTATTTTTTCCAAGACGCTCCCGTAGTCAAGACGACTGTGTTTCCAGGTTCTATCAACGAAGGCCACCAGGGTAGCGTATCACTCACGTGCGAGACTGTAGACGGAAACCCTCAGAGCGTTCTTCGAACTCGCTGGTATAAAAACAACGAACTTTTAAAAGAAGTGGAAGGAAAGGAGATTGTCTGGAAGAATGTGAACAGGAACGTGACGGCTAATTACTCGTGTGAAGGGGAGAACATTGCCGGATGGAGTGGTCGGTCAGAGCCAACAGAGCTGGTGGTGAACTGTAAGTAGTATCATGTAGTTTGTCAGAAGTTGCTTAGTACGTCTGATGTAGGTGACTTTGTCTAGTCACTTGTGACCCGAGTGAGCTAACTCTCTTTTTTCGACTAATCTTATTACGAGTGAGCCAGCTACTCAATATTTAACTCCTGTTTCACTGAAACTGACGGTTTCTCTTATAGCTTTGTTAGAAACCGGAGTAACAAATCATGATGTCCTATGTAAGAAACCGGAGTAACAAATCATGATGTCCTATGTAAGAAACCGGAGTAACAAATCATGATAACCTATGTAAAAAAACCGGAGTAACAAATCATGAT